TATTTTGTGATTAAATAATGAAAACTAATGTTAAATAAGAAATTAAAATTTACTTGTTTAAACAGAGGCATTTTATTAAATGAGATCTGTATTCTGTACCAGTCATATCTATATTATTTTGAGATACAATATTTCGAGAAGTTAAAGTTGTTAAAACTTTAGGCACAATCTCCAACCATCTGTTTAAAAGAAAAAAATAAATTCAATAAAACATCAAATTCTATTTTTTTGAATTAATAATTCAATAAAATAATACTATGTTCAAGTTGACATAATATTGCACATCACTTAAAAGTGAGATTTGATAAAATATAGCTATATTACCAAAATAATAATTCAATAAAATAATAATATGTTCAAGTTGACATAATATTGCACATCACTTAAAAGTGAGATTTGATAAAATATAGCTATATTACCAAAGTAGTAATGACTGATGTGTAGCTAATAAGCAGTCAGGATATTTGGAAAGTTTCTCCAAATTTCTAATTATTCTGCAAGATTCTTATATGAAGTGTCACCAGAAGTTTAAGTCATGTTCCTGTAGAAGCTTGATCAAGTTTTGCCTAATGTGTCATATTTATGGAAGAAAATGTGGCATGGACTCTGTATAAAAGAATGAATTTTGAGAAACTCTGCTAAGTGAAGATCTTATATGAGAATTACTGTAACCTGTGAAAAATAGAAGAAATGTCAGTCATTTCTAGAAAAACAATCCATCAACAAGAACAGGCAAGAAAGAAACTTGGAAGATAACCTCTCTAAAAAAACCCAGTATAGGAGACATTTGTTATGACTAACATAGACAATCATACAAAATCAGCTTGTTAGAAATCATCACCTCTGGGAATCTGGATCAAAATGTATCCGCCATATTATCAACACAGTTCTGCAATATGGGAGTTTTAACTATTGCAAAATATTGAAGAAACTGCTTCTGTGGCCACAAGGACAAGCAGAAGTGACTGGAATTCTCCTGGCACCATCTTTCTGAGGGTATCAATTTTAATTACCCTCAGATTGATGAAAAGCAATTTTCAGATGAAAAGCAATTTTCTCAGGATGGTCTGGACAACTTATAGTGTTGTGTACTCATATGATCATACTGCACCCAACTATCAATACAGAGAAAGTTTTATGATTTTAGGAGAGGAAAGTTAAAGTTCTCAATTAGAACATAGAAGTCTAATAGGAGTACTATCTGGAGGACCTTCAGCACATCTTCCTCTTATGGATCAAGTGCCTGTTTGGCTGCAATAAATGGATATACAGCAATGTATGAATACATGAAGCCAGATGACTCATCTGGTGTTTCCAGACCAACAATGTAAATGTCTGTCCTGGCATACAAGAAATTCAGATCTAAAAATCAGAAAAAATCTGGCATATTTTAGAATGCAAATATATCAAAATCAACAGTACAGTCATACCCCGACTTACGCTACCCCAGAGTTATGCGATTTTCAAATCTCGTCGATTCATCTTTTGTTTGAGCGCCACGCAACTCTTTGATTATTCACTCCCCCCCACACTATTGTCCAGCTTACATGTTCGGATGTGTCGCGCGGAATCGACGCATAGCTACAATTTATTTTGTGTAATTTATTTCTGTTTGTTATATCTACGGAGACTTGAGAGCCTCTATGTGGTGATTTCTTGTAACCATGAACGAACCAAATGGCGAGATAAGATTAACGAGAACATTTATTAGCTTACGTACATCCTACTTGGATTTTACACAAAGGCATCTACAATCGTGAACAATTGACAAAAAAAGTAAACATTTATCAGATAATAAACAAAGACTCATTTTGTAAACAATTTACCTTTTGTATATACAACTGACAAGATTACCTTTCAAATTATAAACAGACTCGATCCCAAGCGGTCTTTTGATTGTCGGACATACAAAAGAAATGAACAGATGACGCCTAACTTAAGCGCGGTTTACAATAACGAATACGATTAATCTTAACACTCTACTATGTCATCCAAATGAAGTAGAACTGATTCTTCTGCATCAAAGAAGAAAAGAAAAACTTTATCTTTGGAATGTAAAGTTAACATTATTAAAGACTTTGATACAAAAATGAAAATTTGTGAATTGGCAAAGAAGTTTGATCTACCGGAATCGACGGTCAGAACAATTATAAAACATAAAGAAAAAATTCTCGAAGCTGTAAAAAATGCTCAATCTTTAAATTCAAGCATCATTCGTAAACGTCACGGTATTATCGCTGAGATGGAAACAATGTTAAAATTATGGTGTGATAATCAAGTTAATGTGAAAAATTGTATAATAATATAATTTGTTATACGTATGTATTATCTAAGATTTTATTAAACATTTTTTTCTAAATTATTGTTTTCTTTAGTCTCCGGTCCCAATTAAAAATAATTTGTATGTATTTATATGCAAAATTATACCCCGACTTACGCGGTTATCGCTCGGTCCCACTTATCGCGTAAGTCCGGGGTATGACTGTATAATCATTATGAAGTTGTTGTCATTAATCAGATTGCTAAAAATTTCAACAAAACTGTGATCAAGGACCCATACAAATCCATATCAAAACAACTTTCTGAGCTGATAGAAAAGCAGAAAGATTATAATGAAAAATCTATATTCTTATCTTTGACATGATATGTGCTTGAATCTTTGATGTAACAAGCATTATGTTAATGTTAAAATCTTAACCTTTTTCATGCTGTGATTCTCAACAGCACAGCTTCCATCAAACCTGCTATGGTCAGGATATTTTGACAGATTTTTTTTTAAAGGCAATTGTGAGGCTCTGGACAGGTCCGAACACTCACTAAAATTCGCGTTAAAATAACTGTTTTAGAAAGAAAAAAATATATAGTAGTTAGAAATAGATTTTTATGATATGAAAACGCGACGCTAACTTTTAAACAATAGAAGAATGTAAGTCCGTCGACCATTTCCGGTTGGAGATTGAATTAAACTTCGATTTTGACCTTTCCCGCGCCCCCGAAAGGTTTCAAATTGTCATCAGGTGACGACGGGAGACCAATCGGAAAGGGGAATCTGAGAGAAAACAGATAAAACCCCGGAAATTCGAGGACGCGACGGCTTCTTCTCCCGAAAGTTCCAAGTGACGGATCTGTTGTTGTGTGTGTGTCTCGCACCCATCTTCGTCTCCATCTCCCGACCTCGGATCGACATCTTTCCATCAACGGAAGTCGACCGCATCGTCCCGGAGTCGTCGAGACGTGATGGAATGGTTCATTCGCGAACAAGGGACACTCCTTCAAAATGGGACTATCTTGGAAAGGAGAGGAAGACCCAGAGGCCGCAGCCGCCGCAGAACTTCCAAGATCGCGGAAATCTTGTAAGCTTCTTTCGTGTTTAATAAACGGTTGTGTTGTTTGTAAACGAAGCATCTATCTCTGACTCAACTGCTTCCACATGTCGTTGATTGTTACCGCTCAGCAATCCAAACGGCAAGGGAGACGATGACGATATATATATTACATATAATCGTTCATCGAAAGTTTTTTAAATTTCTCCCCCGTCGGCCCCCACACAATCTTACCCCTTTACTTTGCATCCATTTGCTTCTTTTTTACTCATTCTTTTAATACTCTTTCTGTTTTTTATCATCATCTGTGTTCCACCCATCAGATCAATAATTTGGCACAAATTATGTGATTAATTTAATTAATTACTTAAGATAGTCATCTTAGCATCTGTTATGTTCTTTATAATAGCCAAATCCTTCATTTATATATAGATTCTTTCAATTAAAAAAAAAAGAGACAACTTTCTTATTGGTTAGTTTATGGAAAAGTCAAGGTAATGTAAAATTTCTCTCAATGCCACAACTAAAACAGTGGAACACTGTTGATATTAATTTTCTAATGTTTTTATGCTTTATATTTTCTTCAATGAGAATAATTTCATTATTTGTGAGATATCTTGTAAATTTAGCAATGTTATTTTAAAGCAAAAATTTAGCAATTTTTCAAATACTTTGATATAATTTAGTTAGTTCATAGTAATCAGTAACTTGAATGTAATGCTACCATGTCATTAACAAATGAAAATATATTATTTATTACACAATACTTCAAAAAATGGAATAAAAAGAAATTCATTATAAACAAAACTGTTTTATAAATATATAAAAATAATTGTTGGTTGAAACTGAAGAAATAGATATAAGCTGAAATGCAGTTTCACTGTAGGAAGTTTAAAAAAAGGAAGTAGAGGGGAAAAAATGTTTTTGGTTTTTGGCCTTGAGTGAAGTCAAATCATCCAGTATTCTTAATAAATAAATAAATAAATATACATATTTTTAACTTTCTTACAAATAAATTTTAAAAAGTTTGTAAATATTCAAAGAAAATACATTTATTATATAGTTTTTGAATAATTCTCTTAGCAATAATAATACAATTATGCTATTATAAAAAATTAAGCATTTTTTTAAGTGAAATGAAAAAGTATGATTTGATAACTTTGATAACACTTGAACCTCTGCTACAGAAAGATGCCTTGAAAAGACTAATAAAAACTATGTAACAGATTCTCAAATCTGTTACATAGTTTTTATAGTTTTTACATGAAATGAGAGACAGTGCAGGTTTTCAAACATGCTCTATACCCCTAATACCTCTATATCTCTACATTTAACCTTATGTTTGTATGGCACATTATGTATCAGAGCAAAGTGCCAAATGATAACATTTTTTCCAGGAGTGTAAAAATAAAGGATCATTTTAATAAATCTATTCTGATTTTAGTACTAATCAATCACAAAAAAATAAAACAACATTTAACAAAATAATATAGAGCAAAATTATTATTATTTTTGTTTGTTTAATTGAATTAATAAAATAAGCAACATTAATTATATAAAATTAATCAATCTTGCTTATTGTATAAAAGTAATTGAAACTTCTTTTTCACATTTTTAAGATAATTAATTAATATAGAGTCTAGTGTTATGAGTTTTAGTAATCTTTAGAAAATTGAATTATTCAATATCTACACATACTTTTGCAAGAAGATCATTGTTTTCTTCTTTTAATTCTTCCAATTTCTGTTTTGCTTCAATAAGCTGTTCTTTAAGTGATTCAATATTATTAGAATCATTAATTCCCAATTGTTGTTTAATATATCTATGGTAAAAAAAATAACATTGTTAATATAAATCCAATAAAAACATAATTAAGTTCAATAATGTTTTTTACTGAAATATAATTTATTTAATAAATCTTTGATACTTGCATCTGAAATACAAACTTGAGTTCAAAAATGCATACCAGGTGTATAAGCTTAAATCTGCTGTTTTTTAAATCAGAAAAACACGTGTTTTTTTTCTTAGAAAGCAAAAACAAATTTATTCAAAGTACTTTCCCTCACTAGTGACACATTTTTTCCATCTCTCAGGCAATGTGTGGATACCATGCCAAAAAAATTCCTTCTCTTTCAAGGCAAACCACTCATCAAGCCATTTTCGGACATCTTCATAAGAATCAAAGTGCCACTCAGTGAGCGCATGGCCCATTGATGAAAAAAGATGATAGTTGGAAGGGGCCAGGTCTGGTAAATAAGCAGGATGGGGTAGCACCTCCCAGTTGAGTGTCTCCAAGTAGTTTTGGACCAATATTGACACATGCAATGGTGCATTGTCATGGAGGAAAATCAGATTGTCGTGTCTTTGCTGATAATCTGGCCTTTTTTCACTCAGAGCACAGTGCAATTTGATCAGTTGTTGGTGGTAGTGGTGGGCATTGACAGTTTCACCAGGTTTCAGCAGCTCATAGTAGACAATACCCTGCTAATTCCACCAAATGCACAGCATTGTCTTTCGTCCAAAGTGATTTGGTCTTGGGGAAGATGTTAATGGTTTGCCTGGATCAACCCATGATTTCCTCGTTTAGGATTCTTGAAATATATCCATTTCTCATCACCAGTTACAATCCGATGCAGAAATGACTTTCTTTTTTGTCTGGTGAGCAAGATTTCGCATGTGTTTTGGTGTCGCTCCATCTGCCTATCGTTCAATTCATGCGGCACCCATTTTCCGATCTTCTGAATCTTTTCCATGGCACGTAGACGCATGGAAATGGCTGGTTGAGTAACACCCAATTGCTCAGCAAGCATTTTTTGCAATTGGGTATTGCCCTCATCCAAAAGAGTCTGCAGTTGATAGTCCTCAACCTTCCTGGGCCAATTTTCATGCTTCTTGTCGCTCAGGTCAAAATTTCCGTCTTTGAAATGACAAAACCAATCTCTGCATGTGGTTTCCGATAACGCACCGTCACCGTAGGCCTCCAAGCATTCGATGTGCTTCGGCAGCCAATTTCTTCAAATTGAAGCAAAAAAGCAAAGCTTGCTCATATGCTCTTTTTGTGGCACAAAACTAGACATGATTACAAAAAAAAAATATACGTTGTTGTATGAAATTGATGATGTGCATGGATTAATGTTGACAGATGTCGAAGCAACAAATGCTCACTTACACTATCTATTAGCAAACAGTGGATTTAAGCTTATACACCTGTAAAAACATTATAAAATAATGACTTTATGCATTTTTATGCAATTATTATTTATAATAGACATGCTAAATATATTTTATTTTTATGTTTTAGTTTTTACACTTTAAATTTAAAACTTAAATATCAAAATGCAAATTTTTCATAGTTCGTGATCATTTTATTTATATTAGTAAATACTAAATACCAGATATTATTTAGCATGTTAATCTTAACCAATGTATATTTATCATCTGACTTTGATATACCATTGATATTATAAATGAAAAAGTTTTTGGAAATATTACCTTAAAGGATCCTCTGGTTTATCCTCTTCTTCAAATAAATTTAAAAATGCTGCAAAAAATGAATTTTTCATTCATAAAAATATTTTTTTGAAATAATTAATATATGCATTAAAGATGAAATGTAACAAAAAACATACTTAAAAATATCAAACTTTTATTTTAATATACTAAAATGCTTTATATAAAGAATGTAGTCATACTAGAATATATACTTTATTATTCATTTCAAGTAGAATAACAGAAGTCAAGGAGTAACAATCCTACTGTGAATATCTCTCTCTAGCAGTTTTGTATTTGGTGGCACTATTCTGTACATTAGAGTATAAAAATCTGTGTATCTATAAAGTTTGTTGTTGTTCTGACTGTTCTACTGAAAATAATGTAGCCATTTTAATTTCATTCAACTCTGATGTAATTTCAAGCTAAAGTATTATATAAATAGTGACAAAATTTTATTCATGATTTATTCCTTTGCTAATCAAATGCATAGTAGTTAGTTTTACAATTTTCTTCCAAGAGTGCAGTAATGAAGTTACATACAATATACTCCTGATTATCTGGACTAATCATTGCATTATCTATATTTATTGTTGATTATATATGTTTCTGTATGTCTGTTTTAATGAAAGTTAGTCTATTTTTGTTTTATTTAGTTTTTAATTTCATATTAAATTTAACATAATAGTTTATATATTATGAATAAACTATTATGTTAAATTTTGAGAATGATAATTAATTAATAAGCTTTAGATGTGATCAGAGTTGAATAAAACTTTGTAAAGAGAAAATTCAAAAAAATTTATTGAACTAGCTCCTTGCAGTTCACTATGAATTTCTTGTATTATTAACCGAGAATGAAGGTTGTCAGCTAGATATCATCAATAATTTTGTGATATTAATGATTTATTGGTAAGGAAATGGTTCAAAATATTTTCTTCAAACAATTTTACAGCTTATTAAAAAAATATATATAATAAACACATAAGTGAAGCTTTGTTGTTCAAGAATAAACTGCACTTACTGTATTTGTTAGGCTATTTAATTAATGCCTTGACATTCTGGAAATTGTTCTAATACTCAATATATCATTTTAAATAGCAAGAGTTAACTATGTAGATTTTTTAAATTTTAATGCTAATACAGTGTTTGTATTCCTGGCATAAATTTTTATTGTGACATATGCATGCACAGATAATTGAGAGTATACTGTATTATAATGGATATTAGACTAAGGATAGTTAAAACAATGATGTTTCTAATGTATTATCTATTATCTTTTCACATTAGAAATCCATTAATTATTTTTATCAAAATATCTTGCATTTTTGTCCATTGTAGACACTCAAGGAGATAGTATTATCATATGTATGATCATGATCTGATACACAGTTCTAAGTAAAATATAACAATTGATAAAGATATTAATTAGAAGATAGCTTGTAAGTAGAATGCAACTATAACATTGATGAGGTTTATTGTTGTTTGTAGAATTTGTTAATGCAAACATAATGATAATAAAAAAATAACAAATACATAACAGATGAAATAGGATGAAAATTAGATTTTATCAATACTTATTGTAATTTTAATATAAATTTTTAAATTATGCAGTTTATGATAATGCTGTTTATGAATAAAAATAAGTTATGAATCATGATGATGATGATTGCTTCACTGCTTTCAATATTATACAAATGACTTTTTTTTTTTTTTTTACCAGACTGTAATGAGTAAACATTATGATTCTATGATCCACAAACTTGATTTAAGTACTTTTCATTCAGATAATGGTAAGTTACATTCTTATAGTTATATATTTATATATAGTTATAGAAAAATAATGTTTCATAATTATATTTTATATGAATTTGAATGAAGATAAAAGTTTTATTTGAAATTTTAAAAATAAAATATTTTTTAGCAGTTTTTTTTAAATGAAATTATAGTTATTGGAAATTTTTTGCTGATGAAATAACTACAAATAGTTTTTTGCCTTTGTTATGAATTTAAAATCCCAATTACTAATTTGAACATTACATTTAAAAAATACTATTATTTGATTTAATTTTTACATTTTGAAAATGTTTATCTTGAGTTATTTTTAATTGTATAATCTTAGACTCAAGATTCAAATTCTCTCACTTCAGAAAGAAGTAGCTTAATTAATCATGTATTGAACTTTCTTTGGTTCAAACACGATATAGTGCAATCACTTGACCACTTGGCATTTTTCATCATTAACTTTTATTCAGTTNTCAAGTAAACAATACATACAAGTACAGTACAGTATTTTCTGAGGAAACACTCGTACTTATTTTTTTTAACCCCATTCCCGATAACCCGGCATTTTCACAAACTCGGCCACCCTTCGGTCCACATTAGGCCGAGTTTTCGAGGTTCTACTGTATCAATTTCTTGTATTATTAACCAAGAATGACAGATTGCCAGCTAGTTAATCATCATAAAACATCATTAATTTAACATTAATGATTTATTGATAAGGAAATGATTTTCTTTAAACAAATTTACAACTTATTTAATAAAAAAATACAGTTTACACATAAGTAAAACCATAAGACATAAGCGCACAGATAATCTGCAAACCAGATAATCGCGAGTATACTGTATCTGAGATTAGGACTAAGGATCCTTACATGATATTACAAAATTTAATAAAATCCTGAATATTCTTCTTTTACAAAAAATGATAATGGATAAAAAGGAAAAAAACAGTTATACTGACTTCAACACTAAATAAAAATGAGTTAAAAGAAGAGAGAGATGGGAATGTGAATGAGCCAAAAAGAATTGCAACAATGAACACTTACAAGGAAAGGCCTTGTACTGTGTCTCAAAACTTAGAAATTAAATCAGTTCTATTTAATAGTGAACTGAATGCTGATTCCAAAAATGCCTTTGTGTACCTCACTACCCCCTAGTTTTTGAGATATTGTTAGTTAATTAAAGTTGACAATAAATGCAAGAAAAGACAAAAATTCTCTCCACAATATTTCATCTACTGCAAGAGCTTTCAGGATTGAATCTCTAATTTATTTCTTTTTTCAATTTTTAGGCTACATACTAATTTTGAGATTGGAATACACTTGTAATGCTGCCTTTGTTTCGCATATTTATTTGTACAATAAAAGTATAAAACAAAAAACTTTCACAGTTTTCATAATAATAATTATTTTCTTCTAATAAAGGAATTATTATTATTATTATAGTCTAAAACTTTTTGATCTGGTGTACTTTTCATATTCATTCTTAATGTGTATTTATATATCCAATGAATTTATTCTGACTGCAACAATAAAGTAAAAAAAAAATCCTGCAAAGGGTTGCATAATGTTCCTTTCAAAGACATTTTTTTTTTCTTAACTCTTCTCGCCCTATGGACACTAAGAGGGCCTCTTTTAGCAGGCCCAAGGCCCATTATGGGTTCGACCAGGCCTGCAATGGGGTGATCGGCTGGTGAGGGACAGGGCCCAACATATCCGAATGGACCACCCCCAAAAAATTCCTGGGGTTTTCTCGACACATCTGGATTCAATCCTGGGACCCCAGAGCAGTAGGCTGAGCGGCCAAGGTGCAGCCTACCCATCCAGCCCTTCAAAGACATTAAAAAATGTGTGGAACCATCTGTTATGATATTTTATTTAAAAAAAGCCTTTTTATATTATTAATTATCATAAAATGGNAACCTTACAGTTCACTATCAATTTCTTGTATTATTAACCGAGAATGACAGATTGCCAGTTAGTTAATCATCATAAAACATCATTAATTTGTAACATTAATGATTTATTGATAAGGAAATGATTTTCTTTAAACAAATTTACAACTTATTTAATAAAAAAAATACAGTTTACACATAAGTAAAACCATAAGACATAAGCACACACAGATAATCGAGAGTATACTGTATCTGAAATTAGGACTAAGGATCCTTACACGATATTACAAAATTTAATAGAATCCTGAATATTCTTCTTTTACAAAAAATGATAACGGATAAAAAGGAAAAAACAGTTATACTGACTTTGATACTAAATAAAAATGAGTTAAAAGAAGAGAGATATGGGAATGTGAATGAGCCAAAAAGAATTGCAACAATGAACACTTACAAGGAAAGGCCTTGTACTGTGTCTCAAAACTTAGAAATTAAATCATTTCTATTTAATAGTGAACTGAATACTGATTCCAAAAATGTACCTCACTACCCCCTAGTTTTTGAGATAATGGTAGTTAAAGTTGACAATAAATGCAAGAAAAGACAAAAATTCTCTCCACAATATTTCATCTACTGCAAGAGCTTCCAGGATTGAATCTGTAATTTATTTATTATTTCTTTTTTCAATTTTTAGGCTACATACTATTTTTGAGATTGGAATACACTTGTAATGCTGCCTTTGTTTTGCATATTTATTTGTACAATAAAAGTATAAAACAAAAAACTTTCAGAGTTTTCATAATAATAATTATTTTCTTCTAATAAAAGAATTATTATTATTATAGTCTAAAACTTTTTGATCTGGTGTACTTTTCATATTCATTCTTAATGTATATTTATATATCCAATGAATTTATTCTGACTGCAACAATAAAGTAAAAAAATACAGCAAAGGGTTGCATAATGTTTCTTTCAACAACATTTTTTTTTCTTAACTCTTCCTGCCCTATGGGAACTAAGAGGGCCTCTTTTAGCAGGACCAAGGCCCATTATGGGTTCGGCCAGGCCCACAATGGGGCGATCGGCTGGTGAGGGACGGGGCCCAACATATCCGAATGGACCACCCCCAAAAAATTCCTGGGGTTTTCTCGACATATCCGGATTCAATCCTGGGACCCCCAGAGCTGAGCGGCCAAGGTGCAGCCTACCCATCCAGCCTTTCAAAGACATTAACAAATGTGTGAAACCATCTGTTATGATATTTTATTAAAAAAGCTTTTTTATATTATTAATTATCATAAAATGGCAAATGCTTAATTCTGAAGATAGGAATGAGGTTTTATAAAAACTATAAATGCTAATAACAAGTAAAATCT